GACGAAGAGTAATAATGGAGCCAGCCTAGTTACGATTTCAAGTTAGGTTCCAGTCTTTCGTTGAGACGTAGACATATGTTGGGGCAAGCTTACGTAGAACCAAGCTCGTAGCATCCAAGCCCGGTGCTGCTCGATCTGAAGTCGCTTGATGTTGACGTATGCCAGCGTGAGCGCAGTGACGAACGCAATCGCCATAACACCAACACCAACTTGGGTGTCCAGCGTGCCCCCAAAGGCATTTCTCGCAATCATCAAGGCGCCAGCAATTCCAACAAGTCCGAGAAGAATGACCACATAACCGTTAATGCGATGGAAGAGAAGGACTTTGTGACGAAGTACTGGCACAAATTGGAAACATGCCAAAAAGCCGGCGGGTAAGATTCCAGCCAGGTGGATGATGAGGCCGGCCTTCTCATGGCCCTTTTGGTAATTGAAACATTCTCCTGGCGCCGCTCCACTGCAGAAGGTGTCGAAGTTGAGGTACTGGAATCGTGCGAGAGTAAACCCCATGAGTGCACCGAAGAAGATGAAGAAAAGGACGAAGTTATAGCCTTTGGAAAACCCTAGAGGGTTGTAAACCTTTCGAGTTGCGGCGACGAAGCCATTAGCTGGCGGGCGAGTTGGCTGAACCATGGCGATTTCAACGATGTGATGTCAGACTTTGATTCGGCTGGTCTCGTAGAGAAAATGTTGAAAATCGCACAATTTTCGGGTGGGGTTGAATTATGAATAGGTGTCTGGTATTTGAAAACTGTTATTGTGTGTGTTCTTATCTTCCCATTCTCTCTTACTCTCAGCAGAGGCTTTCATCTTTTATAACTTGTAATTTGCACATTCCGTTGTCCTCTCATCACGATCTCGTTCTGATCGAGACAACTGCTAACGCAGTCTTGGAGTCGACATGACCAGGATCGACACGCACTTCTCTGCAAGGTCTGAGAGGCGCATGGGCGATTTGGGAAAGAGAATGCGCGACTGCTCAGCACACGGGGGTTGCCATGGCTCGTCTTTTTCAAAGTTGAAGTTGAATTCACCCGCCAAAGCGCCATCTTGGCGTCGAATGTTGAGCCTAGCTCTGACCACCAGGCAGATCTCTCGATCTCGCGCAACATCTTACAGACTCACAATCCACAGCGCGCACAATGGTTCCCAAACGGGGTTAGCCTCGTTCCGCATTCACAGCCGTTTGAGTGGATTCATGTCAGCAAGCGGGCGTTGAACACGACTGGGATTAGCCCAATCCTTCGCCCCAAATGTTTAAGCAGCGACACATCCTTCCCCCGTGTCTTGGAAGAGAATGTCGTCGTCATTGAGACTGGAGGTGAATGCTGCTTTGATTATTCTGCGAATTTCGTCATTCGCCCAGCCTCTCGATACCTAATCCCTCAATTGCTCAGCCATCAGAAGTCTGACGCATCCCATATCCAAGATCTTGGCGTCTGTCCGCGCGCATCGTAGGGCGAAGACTACATACAAGCTTACCGGTTGCTCCCGCCGCGCTCTCGGTACTTTTCGATTGGACTGCTGAGCCCGAGAAGGACTTTGACATTCCTCCATTGTCATAAACGGGCCACATCCTGCGCCGTCACCTTGCCTGTTCGAGAAGCATCTCGCGCCGCGAACCCACATCACTATCCTCGACACCCTTGATACCTTCCTCGACATGGTCGGAGTTCCCGGTCGCTCCAAAGGTTGCAACACGTGTAGGAAGCGTAAGAAAGGCGTAAGTCTGCCAAGATGGGATGATCGATTCGTCCGTTATAATGACGACGCGTTCCACTGCTGACGGAACTGCTACCAGTGCGACCTACAGCGACCTTCATGCGGGCAGTGCGTAAAGGCAGGCTTAGAATGTGCAGGCTACGAAAGAAAGCGCATCTTTGTCAATGTGACCAAGCCGCCGACAGGCAAAGGCTTCAAGTTGACGGCTTTGGTGCCAGTCTCACTCACACTTGTTCAGACGCGCTCGTTATCCCAGTCTGCCTTTGAGGAGCGGATCCTCGAGCTCTTCTGGGATGGCTACATGCCTGATGCTCCGATATGCAGTCCAAGAAGTCCCATTATGAGGTATTCTAACGCAGACTGGGCGACGACCGTGCGGGATCTCTACCGCACCGACGCCGCCTTGCGTCTGAGCTTACTGGCACTCAGCTTAGGCACCATAGGTCGTCGTGACAAGCAGCAGTGGATGATAGACGATGGTCTCAAGTTCTATTGCAATGCCTTGACTGAAATGAACGTTGCCCTACGGCATCCCAAGCGATGGAAGTCAGATGCCTTGATGGTAACTTCAAGAATTCTGGGATTCTATGAGGTAAGCAGGTAGTATCCGCCCGAGTAAGACATCGAAGCTCACTAACTCCCTTCTAAAAGTTGCTCTATGGCGCAGACGACCGAGAGCGACATGGCATCTCTCAAGCTGAAAGCTGGGAGGGGCACTCACTAGGCGAACTAGCCCTCATAATGCAACGAACCCCAGAGGCACATATCGACGGCCATGGCCACGACTTGTACGCATCTGGTCGACTTCATCTGGTCAGTTGACACCTACTCTACCACATGGATCAAGTCTTAGGCATTCAAGTCATACTGATAATATTTTGCAGGTCATATCTCACGTCAAGCGCAGACGAAGGTTTCCGCTAAGCCATCCAGCCTGGAAGACCGTTCCATGGCAGAATATTCCCAAGACCCCAAAGGATATCTTGATCGACGTATTTGTTGACATCCCTGGACTTTTAGAAGACTTGGATCAAATGAACAGCTGCAAGGACCCGGAGGAGAAAGAATTCAGACGGCAGGCTCTCATCGGAGAGTGTTGGCGAGTGGACGCAGAGCTCAACTGGTGGCTCGATAATCTATGCCCGAAGAAAGAACTCGAACAACTCGAGACTCGGGGCTCGATTAGTCCAACAGCTTGCGACGTCGCCGTTGCCTCTATTATTACGTTGCACTGGACGATTTGTATCCTCACCTACAGTACTCTTCGCCTTGCAATCGGCACAAAGCCATCGGAGCTACCCGAACGAACGGATCCCGGCCTCTATTGCACCAAGATAGCCAATATTGTCGACGTCTTCTTCCATCCATCTGCGGGAACCTTTGGTATACAATCAGCGCCGTTACCAATCGGCATGGCTCTGGTATACCTTAACTCGTACGAAGAAGGGTTCAACTCAGAGACCAAGTTCAAACTCCTAAGCTTTTTTGGACGGACCGCAAACAACGGCATCAGTATTGGCAAGTTTTTGATGAGCACCCAGAGAGATGGGCTCAAGCCGAAAACCAGTGTGGAAATTTCACCCGAAGGTATCAAGGCAAAAGCAAAAAGTTGGTTGGGCGTTATACCCCGAGAGGGCCCAGTCTGCCAGCCATTGCGATCAGCTTCAAGCCAAGCTCTGGCCTGTCGGTGAAGCTTTCTGTGCTTTCGAGGCAGACATAGTGATGTGAGAGAAAGATATCTCTCCCTCTGCGGGGCCCGCTATGACAGTCATACTTTTACGCAATCCTCGACTAGACGAAACGAGGGCTTCGTGACTCCACACTTGAACCAACCTGCTCCATAATGCGCAAAATTCTCTACGACACCCATCGAATTGGCACAACATCGCCAATAACCTCGTCAGCCCTGGTGGTCTAGCGGTATGATTCTTCCTTAGGGATATTGAGCAATCAGACACCATCTTGGAAGAGGCCCCAGGTTCGAATCCTGGCCAGGGCCCGCGATACCTTTTACCTTGTCAAGATCCTCACCCCGGTTTATCGGATGTATGCCCCAGCTTATTCACCTTTTTTTGCGTTGTTTCTATCAATATGGTTATTCCATTATGCGTACCCTGGCAGCTCTCTCTGAAGCGCAGCCAAGAGACTCTTGGTAGCTACATCGAGCTGCTCGAGGTCAGGCAGCTAGATATGATGGATGGAAGAGTTCGACAGAAACATGCAACAAACAACAGTATGATAGACGATGCCCATATGATTTTTAGCGTTTAAACACTTTATATATTGGGAGACTTGGTGAGAGTAGATCATTTGCTGGCTCTTAAACCATGACTTTGACACTAAGTCTTACCCATCTGGATGTTGGCCTTCGTCTGGCGGGCAATCAAATTCTTGATCTCACGTTAGGCCACGTGAAAGTGAAACCTTATTCTCTCATGAACTGCTACCACCCACTCAAGAGACCCGGCTACTCAATTGAGCCGGTTTCCGATTTTACCTTTCCCAAAGCTGACCAGCAAGCCACAAATCACCAACAACGCCTATGCCACATTGATCGGCTTGCATGATGTAGCGAAGCCGGGCAATTATGGAAGCTCCCGTGCAATATTTCTCCTATTGGCCACGAACAGGACTTGGAAGCATGACGAACACGACTTTAAGTTGTGCTAGGGGGGAGGCAATCCCCTAGGCGAGGCACAGCCGTTGGACTGGCCCGAATCTGGTTCCGGATCCGACGCTGTCCTGCAGGTGGACGAAGAGCTAGACTGCATTGAGCTGTCGTAACCCCACCATAGCTATTGTTGCCAAGATGATGGGCAAAGCTGGGCTAAACTGAACCTACTCAAATATGCAGTCACTCAACATCGTCAGGTTTCGCTTCTCTGTAGGCTCCTAGCGATTGGTTTGCTCGGGTTCGGGCAAAGGCTGTGCAGGTCTGGGCGGTACAGTTTGTGAAAATGACTTCTCAACACAACATTGTTTAGATTGAACTCTCGATTAGTTGGGTTTCCTTCGATTCACCGACATCGTCAGGACGTCATGACTTTCTATACGAGAGGCTAGATAGAGGCGATGTTGAAACTACTCGAATACAATTGCGGCGCAGACTCAAGTCAAGTCGTGATATAAGACAAGATGCTACGAACTTTCAGACTAGAATGAAAGAAAATCAACAGCCCCAACACATTAACTGACCATCATCGCATCATAAACTTCAGTCTTGAACCATCACGCTTCTCAGTATTCACTACTATCTCACGTTTGCGAATATCGTCACCATGCGTCTTTCCATCTTGCCCAACTTCCTCATGGCTGGCGTTTCAATGGCCCAGGGCGACATTGCTGCGCTCCTCGCCTCTCAGCCCGACCTCAGCACGCTACTTGAGCTCGTCAGTCTCGTACCCGGACTTGCAGACACTCTCGCCTCATCTTCCAACATCACCATCGTGGCTCCCACGAACCAAGCATTTGCCAATGTGCCCCGAGATATTCCTGAGGGAGAAGCTATCGAGTACCGCAACAACACCATTGCGATTGGGGCACTCCTTGCGAACCACGTCTTCAAAGGAGTCTATCCGTCGAACGTGATCACCGAGGTTCCAACCTTTGCCCAGACCTTGCTTGATGGTTCATACATCGACTACAGGCAGCCTTTCTCTAACTTCACTGGCGGTGCTTACAACGGGCTCGTGAAGAATGGAAAGGATGTGTGCATCTTGTCTGGAGAGCAGACCATTTCTACTGTCACTCAGGCTGTTCGTATTCATCTGATGTCGAACTTCATTTGAGCAGTATACTGATATAGAGCATAGGATATCAAACTTGGGGAGGGTATCACAATCCACAAAATCGACACAGTCCTCTCATTCGGCGCTCCCTTCCAGCTCTTCACCTTCCGTGCGGGCTACCTCGCCATGAACGCGGCGTTGGAAGCCGCGCACCTAAACTTCGCATTCGGTGAGACTGGGGCCGACGAGCAAGGTCTCAACATCTCTGACTACACCATCTTTGTGCCTACCGATGAGGCCTTCAAGTCAATTGGCTCTGTGCTCGAGACCGCCAGCCTTGAGACTCTCCAGGAGGTTCTTCGCTACCATATCATTCCCAACAATGTCATCTTCTCGCCGTCCCTGGGCAATGTCACAGTTCCATCTCTTCAAGGAAACAACCTCACTTTCACGGTTTTGCCCGATGGTTCAGCCTGGGTCAATAACGCAAGAATCTCGTTCCCCAACACGATTCTGTTCAACGGTGTCGCCCACGTTATTGACAGGTCAGTGAATTGCCATCAGCATAGCAAGTGAGCATGGAGCTAACTTCATCCTAGTGTTTTGAGCCCTGGAAACTTTGACAGATCTTCCCTGAAGCCTGCAGCACCAGCATCTGAGCGAATTGCCTTCTCCGGCGCATCCTCAGTTTCAAGCCTGCCTTTCACGAGTGTCTCATTCGCGACGGACATGATGGCCTTCACAGCTACACCCAGTTTGCTTCAGACAATTGCCGCCGTCGCTACCGCTACCGCTACTGGTGCTGCTAATGCCACCGCCACGCCTTCTGGCAAGCCGACTACGGTTCCAATTAGCGGCGGCAGCAACCTGTTCCCCGGCATTATTTTGGCCCTTTCTGTCGCTACCGGATTTGCTGCATTCCTCATCTAGGTCTTTCTGAATTTGATCTAACCAAACGGGCATGGAAAGGCTGGAAGACGGAGGAGGCTTTGTGAAGGAAGCAAACACATAGTTTCTAAATCAGCGCCCACCCGATGCTTCCAACGAAAACAGATATCCTGAGTATTCTACGCTTTCATAGATAATTGACCCTGTCACATACTTTTGAACATGTCCATTTGGTGTCTGTCACATTAAATGATTTGATGGGCTATCAACTTCCCATCATGGGTGGGCATGTGGCTGCGACACCAGCAGTTGAAATTCCAGCAACAAGTGAGTACAAAGCTGTTTCAAATACCCATTCATGGGATCAGACGTCGATTTAAGATACACAATAACCAAAAAATATGGTTGACAATGGACTATGTCGCTATTCTGACAGACTTTAAGTCCTACATCCCCCGAAGTATTTTGATGTTTACTATTAGAAAAGATTGAGGAGTGATGCAATTTATGGCTGATTCCTTATAAGTCTCATAGGTCCTGGGTATCAGTCCATTACAGCAACATCCAAGATAGATGCATTAGGCAGACTAAGTCCAACCATTAGGTAGATCAGCCAAACAGTGTCTGATCTTTGTCTGAACCCAAGAGTCATATCAGCAAGTAGATGCTTGAAAGTTTTCTAACAGAAATATTCAACATTCACCTGTAGAGGTACGTTTAAAATAACAGATGGTGCCATGTATGCAGCACTCACCAAAACCTCGGTAAGCCTACAGTACATGGGCACATGCACGTTGATCAGATGGGGGCGGCTCTGTGCATGCTCCGTACACCCCCGTCCAGTCTCTCGCAGCAAGCTCGCAGAAAGCACCAGACTAGACGCGGGCAGCGGCAACGTGCCACGGGGTTTCACGATGGGCTGATAGTTTGATTATGGTGGTTCGGCAATCACAACATGCGATTTATCCTCCACCATGAGCCGTTGTGGTCCGTGATTCCTTGTGGGAGGAGACCTACGAAGGCCACAAACCCCGGCGCTAGCACCGCTGTATGAGGGCCATTTTTCCCGGCATCGTCGCGCCTAGGTGTGTCAGTCCGTTGGACAGAGGATGGCGAAAGGAAATCTGACTTGGTTTACAACTTATGAATGTAAGGCACTGATTTTATGAATTTCAATGTTTTTATTCTTTTGTATTTGAGTATCTTGGGTAGTTTTACTGAGCAGAGACACATGCCCTTGTGCACAGAGGCGGGAGAAAGAAAGTGGTAGCCTTTACTCCGGACATTCCGTCTCCGGAACCCGCCGTCTCTTGTACACACCAACGCCAACTGACAAACATATTGATACAATCAAAACATGGGTATGGGGGGTATTGGTCATTGAAAACAAGTTGAAAAGTCCAGACGCCAAAAAAGCCGACCCGTTCGTTGTCGCCACCTTTCCATGAAGGGAGTAGAGTCACACGGGGTGGCCGTGTAGGTCGTTTACTGATGTAGCGCCGAAAATTTTTCGTTGGAGCCTCAAGGCTGCGAGGTTGTGGAAAAAAGCTTGAGGTGTCTTGTGGATGAAAGCTCGGAATTCGTCGGCTTGGGTGGTAGTGTGGGGGGGCCATTTGCCAGCCTGGTTGATGTGGGCGCGTGTGGTGTAAGTTTTTCCCCTTTTCTCTTTGGGTCTCGGAGCCTCTCTCGGTGGAATGCAGTGACCGTCGTATTGGAAGACTTTTCAGTTCATCCTTTTGACGTTACTACATCTCGAGTGTTGTTCATTTAGAGGCAGGTTCGGCACTCGTGGTGGCCGCAGGATGGGCAGGAGTTGCTGATGACGATCATGCTTCCGCACTTGCAGCAGGAGGGAGCGACGGGCATGTTGGCGGCTTATTTAGTGGGATGTTGGTGTTGATGATGACAGTTTGTGAGCGTTGAGAGCTGATGTAGCTTATTTGAGTGTTGTCTTCTTGGTCGTTGAGAGAGGTGGTGGTGATGAGGGAAGATACGAAGGAAGCAGGAGAGAGAAGGAGGAGGAAAGGCTCGCACTTATAGACATTCACCTTGCCCACCTTCAACCCTCGAACCCTCACTCATTTGCGGCGGAAGTCTACCTTAACGCAGCCAACCCTCTTCGGAGCCTTGGACCCCTGGTCTGTCCGTAATGGTTGTGGTTCGGTAAGTAGGTGTAAGTGGTGGTGTGCACGGCTCAGCCGGGTGTACATAGTAGGCCGAGGAGGAGAGGCAAGGCAAAGTAAGGCAACATCGGACAACCCAAGACAGGGTAGGACAGACATTGAGCAGGCAAGCGTCAAAAAGAAGGAAAAAGGCAAAGTGCCATGCCAGGTTCATGGTTGGTTGGACCCTGAGATGGGTTGGCCGCCGCCCGCGCAGACAGACGGCCGGGGCCCAGCAAATCGGCATGCCGATCGAGTCGAATGCGGGGTTTAGTTCAAATGTTGACAGGGCCTTATTACAACTCGAGAACTCAGTAGAAGTGCGAGAAAGACATTCACACACCGAAAGGGTGAGAAGGATGCAGTGAGTACCTAGGTCGTCCCCCTGTGTCTTCCCAGCCGCCGCCCTAAGCTCAGTGCTGCGCTTGTGTCTCTCAACTCTCTCATCTCCTTCTCGCGGGCGAATGACGACCCGAAGAGACCGCACACACCCTAGCACGACGAGAGGGCCTGACGTAGGTGTTAGGAACGTGCGCCAGGGCGCCAAGGGGGGGGAATAGAATTTGGGCGAAGCCGCGAAGGGGGAGAATGCGACTTCGGCGGAATTCCTGCGATTCTCTTACCCTCAGCCATCGAGTAACACTTTTTGGACATCAACCACACGTTTGCCCTCATTCAGCTTATACTTTCTACTGCCAAGAACCATCTCCCTCAGCCCTTACCCTTTTACCCATCGGCAGGCTCCGGGGTTCGGCGGGTGAAACGCAGCGCTTGGAGATGCACAGATGAAATTGTCTGGTCCTAGGTTGTGGGATGGCACACACCTTGACGCGACCTTCTTTTACTAGCGAACTCTGTCGTCGTCTTTCCATTCAACCATCCCCTCTCTCGCTATAATCAGAAGGGGCAGCCATCACTGCCAGTGCTGCACATGTGAGGCGCGGCACGACGCCCGATGGAGTTCTAACCGGTAGCAAGAATTGATACTAGGGGCATTGAAAAAGACAACACAGCTAGTTATGGAAAGCTTCAGACAGCTGCCAGCTAGCAGGCCTAGCTCCGAATAATCCGACCTTTAGATGGAGGGTGGGAATGTGAGTATTCACTCCTTATTCTGTCGTCTGCATGCATGAGGCGCGGGAGATGAAAGTAGTGAGCAAAGTGTTCTACAGTTCGTCTCACAAGCTTTCTTGTAGCGCGTCTCCGGGTACACAATCCCCCCCACGTCGCTTGTGCTGCACGAAGACCCGCAGGCAGCTCGACGCGGCCAAGGGTACACTACCTGTAGTCCGGTCCCGGGTCAAGGGGGGGTAACGCACAGCTGGCAGTTGGTTGGACAGAGACATCGTGAGCTTCCCGTTCATTGGACGACGAGGATAATTATGCGAATGCTGGGGAAATGGAAATGGAGACCGAGCTAATGAAAGGCCCGCGATTACAATGTGGAGAGAAGACATGGACGTGATGGAGGGGGGGAGGGGGGACTTGAAAAGTTGGGGGGATGCTATCCGAAAAGGAGGGGGGACATTATGATGCAGCCAACAGCCGCCGGGCTACTCGGGTTGAATGCCGGCGATGGGAATCAAGTGGATGATGTGAGAGGTTCTGACTCCTCGACCGGAGGCTTGAGCTTGTCAGTCACTCTGACGATCCAACTACCTGACCAGCCAGCTTCCATTCCGCCCGAGCTCGAGCTCCAGAGATGAACACGAATATCGTTGATCTTGGTATGCCAACGATGATGATCAACTCTCTTGCCCAACCGTCTTGAGGGCCTTGACGGCATGCCATGTCCCTCTGCTACCCCGCAAGATGAGCAAGATCGACTCAAGTGAGATCCGTCGAAGCGAAACGGTCAGACTTGACGCTTCGGGGGAGGGGGTGAAAGTGGAAAACCTGGGGCAAGAATGGCAGCCTCTGGGAGGCCAAGCAGTCGCATCACGTCCCGCGCCACTGAACCACGGACGGCAAGGTTCCTCGATGATCTGGGGTAGCTCTGCTTCAGCCTTCAGAAGCGGGCGGTGACTTTTGGCGAAGGTTCCAACAAGCAAACGCCACACTGCATGACACGGGAGAAGGGGGTGTGTAGCAATACAACAACGGAGCCTAACTCACAATCAATCCGGGGAAGAGTAAGACGGGCGAAAAACACCAAAAACGGTCTTCACCAGTGCGGCAAATGAGTCCACACAAATAAAGCTCCTCTCAATATGAAGATGACCAAAAATAAGGACAAAGAAAATGGGGCTTTTCAATGCGGCCTGCGTCGGCTCACACCGAAAAGAGAACGTGGAGATGAATCGACTGACAGACAGCCCACGATTCAAGCTCGACAAAACGCTGGTGAGGAGCCCATCCGGCGATGTCCGTCAAACGGGGCCTTTTCTCGGATCTTCTCCTCCGTTGTCAAACGTCCTAAACCCCGTTCAAGCATGAAAATGAGGCATTCTCGCGGTGCTTGAGACCCAACCCCGTCCAAAAATTGACGGGTGCCAAGCGAATCAAAGACACTCGGTCGTCATTGCGTTGTATTGCGCCGATATTTTCCTTCTCTCAACGGCGGTCTGTTTTCGTGCTTCTGTTCCTCCCCGCGATCGGATGATTTGGATATCCTGCACGCATGCCCAAGTTGGATATTCTTTTCATCTTCTCTCGTATGTTTGAGTTCATTCTGGGTCAAGGGACTTCTTGGCGCCAGGCGTGGAGTGTCGTAGCACAGCCCAATAACGATGCCAAAGCGCGTCCAGACGTGGTTGGGTGGGCAAGTGTCTCAACTGGATACTCCATTTTCTTCTCATCTTCTATGCCATCCTCACATGGTGTATCTTATATGACTACTATGTCTCTACGTCAGAAGAATCAAATTAAAGATTACACATA